TGGAAAATTTAAGGAGTTATTATTATGTACGTTTAGATGATACAACCGGTAGGATACTTTTGCACGTTACTGTATAATTGCTTTTTGCATAACAGTAGTAACATATCAGCATGCAATCCTCAGGGGTGCTTTTGGGATCTTTATTGAATTCTGCATTGGTGATTAATACCATGATATGCATTGCCTGATTCATTAATATTAATATTAATGGCATCCTTATTTTTTGTGTGCTCAACTTTGATGCATTCAAGAGTGATAGGGGTTGACCAGTTTTTGAATTGCAAGGCAAGGATGATGTCCATTTTTTTTTTTTTTGGAGAAGTTGATTTTTGGTAACTGAGAACTTTTTTTTTTTTGGCAGACACATTAAATATATTTTTCAATCCCTATGTATTTGTTATCACTTTGGTATCTGTAACAATATCATAAGAGGTCATATCGCAACCAATGAGCATGGAATATACCACATCTTCTTCAAGTCTATGGTTAGAATTTTTGAGGTAAAAGAAAGCATCCACAAATTCAGCACCACACACATTCTTAACCAATTTACTATCCCACCAATTATAATTGGGGCAGACTGCAACAAAACCAGACAAAGTGAACATTTGACTATGTTAGCTAAAAGTGGCCGATGTGAATGACGTCATTTTGGGAATGCTTAGCTTTAGTGGCATGATTGTGGCTCAGACATAAATTTATAGATGATCTTAGATCTTGTTACAGTAAATATGACTAATTATATCTTCATCGGCATCAATATCGATTTCAGGATGAGCTTTTTCGTATTGACGAGCAAACTTGCGGTATTCTTTAACTCCCGTCGGTCCATGTTGTCAAGTTATGAGAAAGAAACAAAAGAACGTGTCCGCGTTTACATTAGTCACCTAATCAATTAACAATGGCGTATTTTTGTATAACGCTATTTGACGGACATTCCGACGGGCAGATAGTTGTAGCTTGGCGCCCGCGTCAATATAATCTCCATCTAACTACCAAGCCGGTATTATATATAGAAAACTGTCTTCACGCTCTTCTGGACCTTCTCCCAATAACATTAATTAATTCAGTTGATGTGCTAATGTAATGAATAAAAAAAAAATCTGTTATTTGGCCTGTCATCACTTTGTCGATTTAAATAAATCAAGCTCAATAAAACACCTATTAATAGTGTTTATAAATACGACGAGCATTATCCTCAAGTGCGCTTTGTTTGTTCTCTTCGGCTTCCTATACGTCAAATTAGTTCTGCATTAACAAATAGCCTGTCGTTTTAGAGATAAAATACGTATTAAAACATCCGATTGTCTTTCCATTTGGACGTCAGGCGAACCTAGAAACCGCGCGTGCCCCAATGGGTTCAGCGCCGCCTCGACTTTTGAAACAACAAGCAAATCTGGCTTGACTTAGAAGGCTTTAATTAGAAGTTTTTGCCGCGTTATTATATATACCTTATTAGAAAGGCTTCTAGACTAATGCAAGAGCGTAGCCTACGATCCGAGTCCTCAATAGCGTCTAGTATATTGGAAGAAAAATCACTATAATTCCTAAAGTTCGGTTGAACGAGTTGGGCGTTATGTTTTTATCCAAGCCTTGAACATACTACAACCATACGCATTAGTAACATAAATGTGTTCTTGCAATATCCCATTGGACTTTTTCTTTCACGCTAATAAGAAGCTAATAGATAAAAAAGGTAACGACTAATCGAGCATTAATCACAATATATCCCATTCAAGTTCCAAGAAATAACATTTCTAGGCTGAAGAAATTGAAAAGCTAATTGCGTAATAGAGAAGAGAAGAGAAGAGAAGAGAAGATAATAAACACTGCAAGTTAATACAATCGATTCGAACTGAAGGGTTTGTGATTATGTCAATAATCTGATCACTAACTATGGGACTATTGAATTGAATTTTGCAAAAACCATTGACTATTTCTCACTGAATTATCGAAGCGTATTTACAACTATTCACTGCATATTATACATTTCGCAAATGCTGGAATTCTTTATTCCTGATAATGTAAACGTATTTTGGGAATATTTTGGAGGAATACGTGATCTATTAATACAGTATGTGGTAAAATTTTATAGTATTTTTGACACATAATTTAAGCTCAATTAGGATAAGTCTATCATAAAATGTTGCTCATTAAATGCAAAATGTCGAATTTTGGGGCATTGTGCCTTTCTTTAATCGTTTTATAGAATTATTTAATGTTATGCTGTCATCTCATGGTCATGTCTTCTTTTTCTTTTTTCTCGTGCACGTTCTTTTCTTTGTCTTGCTTCTTTTCTTGGTGGCAATCATTGTAACAATAATATTAATTGTAATAATAATGTTAATAATGTTGTTTTAAGAAATTTTATTATTTAAATAGTCACATACCTGATACTAATGCAAATTTATTAATATATTTAGATGGGTTATGACGACTGTTTTTTCATTTTTAACATCAATGCACCAGATTATTTCATTGACTTACTAATGTTTATTGCTTGGAATCACACATGTAACATTCGAAAAATATATATTAAGCCCAAGCATAAGCAATCGTCTCATCTTGAGTAAAGTCAAAGAAACCGATCTCAGGGATACCATTGTTGAAGCCTCTGCAAGTTGCATCCTTGTGTTTCCACGATTGCCAACGTCTCAGGTGTGCCAGAATTTGTCCAATTGCGTAATTTAGTTGTTAGTGAAGCAAAGGTGTACAGTTTCCTATTCGCCAGCGCGGTTGTCACCTTCGCCCAACAATTTTGCGACAACTATAAGCTCCTTACCTTTGAGCAATTTGTCGACAATTGCTGATTTGGCTGATGAAGCAAATCAAAGAGGAAGATAATAAAAATTATCTGGCTATAATATCGACAAAATTAGTAGAGATAGCGTTTTAGAAAAATCCTTGTTGCCGGTTTCAGCTTTGCAAGTTTACAGCCGAACTTCATAAATCTATTTTAAGAGAAAGCAGGATCAAGCAACAAGACTTGTAGAAAAACTGGAACTAGGAGCTGCTCGTGCCGACTATCACGGGAGAGCAGATAATAACCGGCACTAGGAAGTTAGCCACCTTCGTGGCTTCTCCTACCAATAGTTAAATTTCGGGATACAGTTAGTGACTAAGGCTTACACTTACGACTCACGATGTCGATGAGCGACACTAATCCTAGATATATAATTGTCGAGTCGCTCTCTCGGTTACTATCGCTATCGTGGGATTAATTCGATAGTGGAGTACACTTATAACTAGAACTAGGTGGATTATCAAAAAATTGTGTCACATATATTTGCCATTCGAATTGCGATTTCTCAACTATACCGATAAGTTACCAGGGAATGAATCATTAACAATGTATTTCAGAGTATAAAGAACTCGTTTATTTACAATAAAGTAATAACATTATGGACACGACACTGAAACTAACTGGAATCTACGCTGCTTTTATACCTTTCGAAAGGACTAATTAACCTATTTTAGCAACGTTTATTATTATTTACTACTAACGCCGCAATCTCCGCAGTCCATTAGTTTGTACGAGTCGTCTGAAAATTACTTCGTCTGCAGCAAGGTCAGGTGTCCAGCGTGCGTGGTTCACCGAAATGGGCAGCGTTCAGTCAGTCAGAAAGACAGAGAGGAAGAGGCGAAAGACAGAGAGGAAGAGGCGAAAGACAGAGAGGAAGAGGCGAAAAAAAAAACACGTCATCCAGCCACTCAGTGGTCATCTCCAACCCATCGCCCAGAGAGAAGGAGGAGACGTGAACACGATGGTTCAGGCTTTCAGTAACGAGGACAGGATAAATTAAATATTTTGATATTAATATTCGGATCATTGTTACTTAATATTAAATCAATCAAACATACGTATTTAATTAACACGAAATTTACCTAACTAATTCAACCCCCAGCCATCAGACTGGAGGTTACTTACTCGTAGGTCTAGCCGTTGCCATGTTGGCTATTTCCTCTGCCGTAGCAGGCATTTGCTATTGCTGCAGCCGGAACTAGAGGCAAAAACGTTTTGTGAAAAAGAACAAGAGAGGGGGGGGGAGAGGTCTTCAGTAACGAGGACAGGGTTGTTACTTAAATCAATCAAACATGCACGTATTTAATTAACACGAAACTTACCAGTAAGTAACATATGCTGTCCCGGCTAATTCTTTAGTGTCCTCCAGAGGACTGTATTCCACGGCGATGGTTGCCATGTTGGCTATCGTCGTCCATAGGAAGCGTATCCAGCTTCGTATATCTTTTTGTGGCGCGTCGTCGCGCCCGACGCGGAGCAAAAGTTCCTCGAACATGATTTATTATCGACTGACGGTATATGTATGGTGGGTATCAAGTCAAAGTTTGGATAGTCAAAAGAATTTGTGTTGCAAAAAGTGATGAAATAATTCATCCTTGTTCTGTTACGTCTACGCTAATTCTCTTTTATATAAATTTTTGAAAGGCTTATCACGAGAAATCCTTTTATAGAAATTTTTGAAAGGGCTTATCTCATGGTTCACAAGAAACCCGGATTAGAAGGGAGTGAACAATGACATTACCTTCTAAGCATTTTTTTTTTCAGGAGTGCAGAAATGGCGACTGCTGCATACTAGCTGCATGCTTATACAAGGGCCAGTAGTTGACCCTCAATTATTTCATCGGGAGATCATCATTATCAGCATCATTATTATTGTCTTTATTAGGCACACATGGGTGACCGTGTCAGCTCTATATGTCAAGAATCCCAGACTAATTCCAGACAATTATGATAAAATTTCATGGCTTTCAATTGAAGTTAATGGAAAATCGACTTTATCCTCACTTGAGGCCAAAATATGTTTGGTAAACTACACGAATCTTCCGAAATGTTGCCTTTGCAGCTATTATTACAAAGAGTTTATTAACTTTTCACAAATTGAGCTGTAATCGTATTCTATGCACAAGTACTTTATAAAGTTGGTCAATTTTTTCCCATACATAATCGTATTTACTTTGCCTCGGAAATTTTGTGAGAATATTTCCTGGAGTCAGGACCACCTAACAAAAGGCAAGGCTATCTGTTGTTACGTTCGGTCATCTGGGAGATCAAATTTGACCGAGGATATTCTCAAAATTTAGCTCTAAACGTGGTCTTGCTTACACGCTCGCGTCAATTAAGGCGTAGCTAAAATTTGCAGTATACCTCCTATTGCTAAGGTATAAACTCTCAGTCGATTGTTGTGCCGACTATAAAAATATATATATTGTACCGATAATCGAACTATTCTTTCCTGTCTGGTCTGATTATGATACTCCAGCGTCCGCCTAACTACAGCTAAATATTAATCTAACTTCCGTAAGCTGGCCCATCGGCAATAGACACTTCTGTTCAGCAACAACGACACACAAGAATAGAACTGTTATTAGAACAACAACTAATGATAATCCTTAGAAGAATGTATTAATCATAAAGAGGCAATAAAATTCGACGCATCTACTTAAGGAATTTCTTATGTTCTCAGCCACTCCTAGTGAATGGGTTAACCAACCATAAATTTAAGTCAATTTCACTCCTGATCATAGTATTTTATTTAATATGATTATTTACTCGACGAACTACAACACTTTTTCAACACACGATAACAATGGAATTTTGCGAGCGTTTTTATAAGTAGGTGGAGGGCCAAAAATCGATGACGCGATTCACATGAGGTATGACACGAATTTAGATATTGCTGTGTTCTATGCTTCTTATTGAAAGAAGAGTCCTTTTTTAGAAAAAAAAAGAATATATTTAAATAAATTTCAATATTGAAAAAGAAGTTCTTCCACCCTTCAAACGTTTTGATATGTATGGGGTCAGTCGCGTGTGGAAAATAAATTTTTTGTCGGTGCGTAACATAAGTGACACAATAAACGAACACGAACTAGTTATTTTCTAATCTATCGCGTACATGTACATACTGTAAGTACAGTATAATACATCAATCGATGAACGCATCGAAAAAAGTATGCGACTGCATAGTGAACTCGTTCATACGAGAACTAGCTTCGATTTAACAGAATATTCGGTTTACGCCTAAAGTTTAATCCGAGGATTGCATTTAGATGACTCCTCTTTCGCCAAACAAAAAATCGAGCTTGTTTAAAGGTTCGAGAAATAGAAGTAGCATCATTTGCATGACAATATTCAATTTCCGAGCAAGGATTGATTGTGCAAAAGGAACAGCTGGCGAAAGCGGGCGACAGCACTGATATACGAAAAGATGTTGAGGAGGACATCCAAAGTGCAGGTGAGACTCGACTGTAACGGCCACAGACCAGCAATGACTGTTTGCTCAAGACCCAGCATTCCGGAATATTCTCTTATGAACGCAAGCTCCTTATCGCGGAGCCAATGCTATCTGTCTGGTAGGAAAATTTTGGCAGATTGAGAGCACTAGCTCAAACAATTTATTAACATTCTAATTACATGCTGGATTTTTTGAAATCTGCAGAAGTTTCTTGCCAGAAAACGTATTACCATTATAACGTTTCACTTACATAGGTTAGTAAATTAAACTCATCGATATATCTCTTTAATGCTTCGTTTTCCTGCTTGTAGTCGGCAACAAGCTCGTGTAATTCCTCCGCCGTCATACTAGAAAATCGCCTCTGTAACTCTTCTAACGGACTTGAAAAGTATGCATCATTTGGGGGGTAGAACCACTCTTTTAATGACCATACATAACAGTGACAAATGTGGTATTTGAGTTGAATGCTGGACATTAGCGATAAAATGAGATATACCAATAAATATACTTACCACTGAGACCCTCCTCTTTCAGCGAGCTAACAGTCCGATAGAAAGTCGTCTGCCTCAGAGTCTGGCCTATGTCCTCATCCGACATTTTGTTCGTGTCTGATATCTCTTCCCACCTTTGTAGACATTAATAAGACATTTTAATAAAACGATCTTATATTTTACATTGTCATTCTTAATTGTGAAATTGTCACCTAACTTGTCATGTAAGTATAATCTTCGCCATAAAGATTGTATGGTAGAGCGAGCACGATCTTTCGGCAACTGATTTCATATAAAGTATTAGCAAATACTCGGAATATCAATCAATAGCGTTCTTCAACAGACCTCTTCAAATTTAGCCACATTCCTAATTAATCTTGCAAAATCAACTTCATGCTGCTTGTCCTGCAACGTCAGACAGTCGACATAATCTTCTATTGATAATAGTTGGCCACACAAAACTTTGGGTATGAAGCTCTTGTAGAGCTATCAGATAATCATGTCAATACAGAACAATAGCTCAGCAACTACTGCTAGACATAGTTATATTACCTTGGCAAGTGCAGGTCTAGTTTCGCAAATCTCATTGGCATAATGTCGCATTATGGTATCTATCTGGGCATTCATATCGGCAGACGTCATGCCTCCTTTAGAGAGCAGTTCCGTAAAGTTTTTCTGAATGTTCTGAGCGGTACAATTCACAAAGTCCAGACGACACTCAACATCTGGTAACAGACCAACAATTGAGCGTTAATATGAAATAGTGGAGTTAAATTAGCTGGTTTGATGCTTATCAGTGTTATGATTACCTTTCAATAGGTTTCTAATCTCCCGGGAATCGACTTTGGACTCGATTGAGGCGAGTATTGATAACTTGCTAATACTTAGCATAGTCTATAAAATATAAGCGTAATTCGCCAATGCAATCAAAAACATCAATGCTCCCACCCCTTAAACTATACAATTAAAAAAGTCAAAGCCCCATAGACATTACCAACCTTCATCTTATGAACTTGTTGCTCGGACAAAGCATCATGATATAATTTTTCGGCTGTACTCTTATAATCCTCGCAGTAGATATCATGTAGCCACGAAATTTGTGTTATTTTTCGTTCGTTTAGATATTGTTGAAGAAGCTGCTTGTGCTCATAAGCGTGGGGTCGATTCAATAGTTCTTGTAGCTTGCCTACACCAATCACCAAACAACTGTTTAATATCATGTCATTGTATATGTTCATAAATGGACATATTAACCACGTTACCTTGTTCAAGCAGACAGTCGTATAAAACGTATGCAAATCTCTGTCCAAATTTATTTATGTACGATTGTATATGAGCATTAGCGTCTTTCTCATATAAAAGACTTAGTTCAACAAGCGTTCTGAAATCCTCGTACGTTTCTGCGAGACGTAGTGCAGAATCTTCTTTGCCAACGGTAACTATAATTACGAGTAAATTTATGGTCAGTCTAATAAAAGAAATTCAATTCAACTGTATTCAATCCCTCACCTAGCAATTTCAGAATACTCGTAAAACCGTCACGATATGCTCTTGTAGGAAGTTTGCCCTTGTTGTTTGGACTAGTTGCATGTATAATCAACGTGATAAATATGATGGGCATAAGACGTTGATCGTGATAATTGAAATGTCGCTTGCATCTCACCTACTAAATTGGTCAAGTGTTGTACCGAAAAACACGTCTGCCAAATCCACCATTTGGTCTTTTAATGTGTTTATTTTCTCGTATTCTATCTCAAAAGCATCATCTGCATGATTTTGGTTTAATTGATTCAATCTGTCACTTATATCCAAAACGAGTGCCTCAGTTGACTCAAGCTGCCTTCGCAGTATTATGGCAATTTCGGCTTTTGCTATAAAGAATTAGATTCAAAAGTCAATATTATACATAATCAAAATCATGAATTGTCATCAGACGTCACAATACAGTACATGACCATGCTTCCGTGTCATCGGTTTCCGTCAAACCATAGACCTTCTTTGTAGATTTCCTATACTCAAAAGCTTCTCTAAACCCAGTCTAATCCACAATAATGTTAGTCTTCATACAAAACCATAGTATTTTAAATGATAGTTCCTCACTCACCAGTAATATCGAATTTGCTTGATACATGAGTGATGCTTTGTCTTCACCGTCAGAAAACTTTGCAACAAGTTGCTCAACGTATACAAAAAGATTACCAACGTCACGCACCTGAAGATTTTGAATAATTACCACTTAGTGGCTTGGGTTCAGTAGCAAAAGATCACCGCATTATTGACTTACATGATATTTGTAAAACTGCCTGCTGAGGTCTTCGTTGGCTTGAGCCTCGATATTGCGGTCGTGGAAGTAGGCTTTTATTGCATGCTCCAATAGGTTCACATTGAGTCTATTGGCTTCGGGCTTACTAGAAAACGGTCAAAATGTAAACCATACTAATACATGCCAGACTTTACATTGCTGTCATTAGGTAGAATACTTACGCATAAGAGGAATTCTGGTAATCCCATAAACCTTTTGCACAAGCAATTTTATCACCATTCCAGAATAGACGTGTCAAAGTAGCTGTTGTTAACTACCACATTGATTAGGGCATTAGCCAGCTATTGATAAGCGCCGAAAAATATTTGCCGTATAGTTCCGAAAATAAGCACTTTCCCCAAATAAGCGCCTATCCACGTTTACACACCCGCAGACTTGTGATGATCTCCAAAAATAAGCACTTCCTATTGTTAAAGGCGGTGCTTATTTTCGGAACTATACGGTAGTCATATCAATATATGCCAAGCAAAACACACCTGATTCAATCTTCCACATGACCCTATGAATTCGACCATGCGGGTCATCTTGATTAGCCGATCGTTTAATTGATATTTCAGATCTATTGAATCGTCAAGATATTTCGAACCTAGGAATGTCATCACTGGTTAATCCTACGCTCTATACGAAAGAATATCATTCACAAATAAAGCCGTACTTGTGTCTAAAATCTCTTCGCTAAGCTCTAATGCAGCCAGATTCAGGTCACCCCCTTGGTCTGCCGAAAGGTAAGGTTGGAGAGGGTTCTAAAAAAAAACGTATTTGGATCAAACGCTTCTAGGTAATACAAGATGCGAACTACAAATTAAGCATAGATAATTACGTGTTCAAGATTATGATAGAATACAGCCCGTTCCAGCATTATTTTTAAATCTTGTGTCAGCCTTGCCTAAATCGAATATCAAGAATTAGAGACTATCATAGAAAATGCAAACTTATATAGATAATAAACCTGCCTGTTTTATTTCAACGTCTTGTTCGTCAGCTTCTCTAAATTGGTCAAATGATGAATTGGATAAAATGTTCAAGATTTAATTCATAAAAAGACTTCACTCAACTTACCCTCTCTGCATCGCCTCACTCACTATATCTCCGATTCGCAGACGGCAACTCATCACCCCCGTTCTACTGGTTAACACATGCAAAACACTCTCACGTTCACCGCGTCCAAATATATCACTCTTTTCAAAACCGTAACCAATAAGTTTATCTCGCCGAGAATCACGCATGGTCATCGTTTCGTTGTAGTCAGCGCCTTATACACCCATTAAAACAATATGAGAGACGTGATACAGCCTGCACCAAGTGTAAATGATTAGAATCGTATGTACCTTTTACAAGTGCTGTGATTATAACTGCTTCTGGAGATACCACAAATACAGAAGGTCCGCCATTAGGAAGCACAAGACGCGGTTTCGCAGACAATGAGAATGACTACAAATGATGCAGGATATAATAAGAACTTAGAGAAATTAAATACAGAACATTTGAGTCAGAATGAATACATCACAACAGACTGTACAGTACAGACAACTTACACTGGGAAACTTTAATCTTCGGCTTTCTACAACACGATACTGCGCGTTCTCGGACCGATCCATTCCGATGGTAACCAAAGAGTACAAACAATCTTCATCATCCATCTCGTTCCATCGCACTGAAAACGAGACTAATATGACTAGTTCTCCATTTCTAGGTATGCATAACGATTTAATAAGAATAGAAATTTTCTAATAACAATCCAGCGAATTACTCACTTTGAGTATTCAATGTCAAGTAACTTCAAATCAAGAGAACTAATAGCCTCAAACAGTTTTGGATCACTTTCTCGGATTTCGCTTGCTATGAGTTCGTGTATGTCACTAGTAGACATAAACTTAGAAGGAAAGAGTTAAACCGCCATTCTTCAGATGCTAGCAACGCCAACATTGAGTATCAATGTACCTTGTGTGGACGAGGCGCAGGCGCAAGTGCATAGAGTTCGAGAGTCTTTTCCGTAAGCACAAATAGCTCGCTGCACAAAATGACGAATTTGCGGTTACGCGCGTGAATTGTATGTAAAGCAACAAATTAACGTTTGAAAATATCCATCACATACCACAAATATTTTCTCTCGAGTTTCCTTCCGAGAGTAGTAGCAACAACTCTGGAATTTGCACACTTGTCGGTTCGTCCAAAAACAGAACTCAGCAATGGATTAACGTAACCCGGATTGCGTGACATAACGGAACTCTCGAGTGTAGATGCTCCTTCTTTCCTCACAATGATTCTAGATAGGTTTAGTTTTGCCGTACCAACTACTATTACATTACCATCCTTTGACGAGGAAAACTGAATTCGGAATATCACATCTTAGTTGACAATGGCGAAAATATTTGACTTATAATAACAACATAGGTAAATCCACCTCATAACAGTCTAAGCATGTCACACAATCGTCTTCGTGAAGATATAAATCAAGACTCTTGTATCTTTCAATGTCTGTTAATGCAAGAGATATATCATCCCAATATCTAAAATTTCCTTTTAATGAGCATGCTAGTAGCCCCGGTGTTACTCCATCAATAGGCGGCACGATGCAAACAAAAGGTGTCGCAGAATCAAAGGCACCTCGTGTGCGAATATCATCAGTCGGCATTGGAAACTTATAACAAGTAGGCATTCTTCGCTGAAATTGCTGTTGTAAGGATAGCCCTTAGACCAACATCGACTCAATAATAACAATATGAAATATTAAGGTGTATGAATCAAACCTTTTCATGATCTTTCTTATAATCCCAAACATAACAGTCTGTAAGCGACCAAACAGCAGCATAGCCGACGCTACAATTTATTGAGCCTTGACATTGTTCTAATATAGTTTATTCGGTTATTACATCATTTACAGCAAATTCCGTATTCATTCAGTAAGTAGTCTTAGTATTATTGAACTATTCCATACACCAACCTCCTGCATCTCGTAAAAGTACTTCGACTTCAGAAGGAAGAGCGGCAAAATGCTCTACTATGTGTTTTTCATATTTCAGGTATAAAGCATTAGCAGGTGTGGGAGTATCTAATTCTCTTACAAAGCCAGAAAGATCAGGGAAGTAGGGAGGGCGAAGTGGGGGTGTTCCCACCTCTTCGTGTCGTATTTCACTAAAGGAAGAGCCATCGCCGTCAGAGGAAAAGTGTTCCGAGGCGGTGCGAGAGAGGGGTATTATTGAGCCTTGCTGGCTTGAAGTGGAAGAGATAATAGAAGTGTCACGAAGTAAACGCGATCTTTGCTGTCTTGAGGCTGTAAACATTATAATAATTAAAGACGAAAATAAATTTTGATCTACCGTTGTGCAATTTTCGAACATTCAGCAGAATAAACCACAATTTTCGTACTACAAGTTTAATACTAATACGGTTTTGTGTGATCTCCAAACCTCCATAAAAGAACACCTCTAACGATAGAACATAATTTGGCTGTCCCAACACAAGCCTCTGTGTTTACCAGAACATTAATTGCGAACATTCTACACTGCAGTATAAAAATTATATAAACCACGAATAATCAACCTGTCAGTTAGACAACAACCTCGATTTACCCTCGTTGAAATGATTGAACACCCTGTAGCAGATGGGGATCTCAGAGAAAAGATTCTACGATTATATGACGACGAGAATCGATTCCAGGCCGGATTTTATACTTTAATATACGAAGGAGATGTGTGGGAGGGAAAACACTTGAATTTTAAAAGGGGGTGTAAAGACTATTCAATTACAGATGTACACAAAGTCTTTGGAGATGACCGGCAACCCACACAAAAGGCCAAGGTTTATTACGCAAGAGTCAGTTCAGAGCATCAACGAGACGACCTCGAACGACAGAATATTATCTTTGTATACCCAGACCACTTGAAATACAGGCCGAAAATCAAGGCCCTATATATCAAAAGGTTTTGAGGGATCAGGAGTGATTTCAGATTCATGACAACCCCCATTCGTCGCCGTGATTTGCGCACCGTTCGCCGGAACTCAATTCCGGCAAAATGGTTTTATCTTTCAGATTCATGACAACCCCCGTTCGTCGCCGTGATTTGCGCACCGTTCGCCAGCTTGAGGCCGGAACTCAATTCCGGCAAAATGGTTTTATCTTTTTTCGACGGGCAATACTAATACGCCTGGGTATGGCTGGAACCAAATGTATGTATCAATAATGGCTGCCAGGAGATGGCAGACCATGTCCGCGGGGAAGCGAGCCCCTTTTGAAGCCGAAGCGGCATTAATGGCAGCCATACAGAACAGCTCGGGGCTGCTTGACCGCCGGAAAAATCTGGGTAAAAATGCGATTGTATTCATGGGTAAAAAAATATGTCAGCTTAGGCTGTTACTTGTTATTCCTAATCTAGACTTTTCTTAATATTAATGTGGAGTTTTATTAGTAATGATAGGTTTTAATGTAGGCGTAATAGATAATGTACTTTATTTTGTCACGTGAAAATTCTTCGTGCTACTCGAAAATAAAAATGTCACTTCTTGGTTTTGAGACAGTATTGATTGAATCATGAGGCTTCTTACCTGGAACGTGAATGGCCTTCGATCCCTGGATCAGTATTATCCGTGAGTGATCTGACAAGTTTTATTAGTGAAGAAGTAGATCCAAGTCTGATCTCTCGATATGGCCTCATTTTGATACTTACTCAATAGGTGGTGCGAACATAAGAGCTATAAGGTTTATCTTATAATTCAATTGATTTCTATTCCTGATCATTTTATTCTCTGACTGTTTCAGTTAACAATTTCCCTTTCGTTTTCGTTACCCGCACATTAAATTATAGACGATATTAGATACTTTGAATGCCGACATTATATGCTTTCAGGAGACAAAAATAACTGCTGACCGATTGGATTCATCATTAGCTCTTGTTCCAGGATACGATGCTTATTTCTCCTTTACAAAGGGGAAGTCTGCATATTCTGGTGTCGTTACATACGTAAAGAATGCAGTAATTGCTCCCGTTGCTGCCGAAGAAGGCATTTCAGGCATACTTTCCAAGACAGCCTCTGCAGTGAAGGGGCCTGATGATACAACACCAGAAGCTCTCATTGGCTGTATCCCATCAGGCTATACAACAGAAGAGTTGCTTGCCATAGATAGCGAGGGAAGATGTGTAGTACTAGACTTTAATCTCTTCACTCTTTTTAATGTCTACTGTCCGAACGAGTCTAGCCTAGAAAGACGCCCGTTTAAGCTGAAATTCTACGAAATACTAAAAGCGCGTGTCGAAGGACTTTTACAAGCAGGCAAACAAGTTATAGTTGTGGGCGATATGAACATTGAGCATAAGGAAATAGATCACTGTAATCCAAAGGGAGCAATAAAAGATAAAGGGTTGAATGCGTTCGGAGATCATCCTGCTCGCAAATGGTTTGACTCTTTTGTGGTGTCTAATGGATCAATGGTCGATGTGTGCAGAATGGTAAGGAAATTCATGAGGTGTAGGAATTAATCGTGTTCTTATTTGACTAATATTGATTTATTATAGTTCCACCCTGATGAGAAGTTCATGTATACCTGTAAGTGGAACGGAGAATGTTATACTGTTTATTCGAATCCACGCGCAAAAATGATGTATGTATATCTGATCAAGACTTTTATTATAGGTTGGTCTACCGTACTTAATGCGCGGTAAGATATTAAGGAGTTGACTATTTCCACCATCCATAGTCTTTGTCACAATACATTTGTTAACATTGCTGCTTGCGGTTTTTGAATAGACCTGCGAATTATGGTATGTGTGTGCAAACTTCAATTCTACCTCAATCAATCTAGTTTCATCATGCTATTTTACATTTAGGTGTACGTATAGATTACATATTAGCAAGTGAGGATCTCATGAAATGGTTCAAATCTTGCAACATTGACCCCAATGTCATGGGTTCGGATCATTGTCCAGTCGTGGCAGAGTTATATGATGAAATATATGATAAACAAAAGCACGTGTTGCTAGATGAAATTAACCTAAAAGAAAAAGGTCAAAGAGTCAAGGTGGAAACGCCTAGACTTTGTGCCAAGTATATGGCGAAATTTGCAGGAAAACAGCAAACCTTGAAAAGCTTTTTCACCGCAGCGGCTCAAAGCAAAGCAACGCTAGGATTGGGGAAATTGGCAGCGGAGGGTTCAACTGCGAATTCGATCGAGCGTAGCAATGACACAAGGATAGACGCAGATGAAAACACGGATCAAAAAAAGGACACTTCATCTGCTGAGAAATTAACCGCAAAGAGACCCAGAAAACAATTGACAAAGTCAGTTCAAAAGAAACTCAATGTTTCAAAGGAACAAATATCACCTCCATGTAGCCAGACGTCAATAGCCAACTTTTTTAAACCTGCAGCTACAACAGAAGAAAGTGCAGTAGAAAAAAAATTTGTCAACGAATGAGACATTGAAGGAAAGCCCATCTCTCCAGGAAGTACCTCAGTCGACCAGTTTTGGTAGTCAAGATGCGCCAATTGATCTGGATCCTTTGGAAATATCCGATGAAGATATAAAAGTAACCACTAATAAGAATACAGAGGTGACAAGCAAATGGAATGCTCTGTTCACCCCCAAACCAATACCCAACTGCAATGTCCATGGTGAGCCATGCAAGCAATACAAAGTAAACAAGCCTGGGCCTAATCGTGGAAGGAGATTTTACTTATGCTCTAGGTATTTTGTGGCAAAATCTATAGTCCTGGTCTTATAACTGGTTAAAATATTGCTCGTACCGATCACATCAATTCTTATACTCGCGTGTTTTTACTTGACAAAAACTAGACCTGTCGGATCGACGCCCGAAAGTCGATGTAATTTCTTCGAATGGGCTAATGCAACTACATCTTCGTCCTAACCTTTACCAGCAGGTAAACGAGTAGCCAGTGCAAATTCGAATATGAAGGAAAAGAGATCACGAACGGGTTAGATAGAAATGAGCGAGTCTTTTAAGATATAGGTATTGACATATACTTGTAATGTCAAATGTAAATAAAGACATCAAATAAATTTTAATTCGTTTCCGCGATGACGGTTACCGCTGACAATGATTTTGCCTAAAGTTTGAAAGCAATAATTTTGGTTACAAACCCTTAATATTGCTTCTATCTCCCTTATTTTGAATAACTTGTTCACATCTGCTTTTATTATTATAAAATCTGGTAAATGGACTAGAAAACTTTCCCGATAATGTTAACAAAAGTACACGAACAAACGGTGGATGGCGAAGAGTAAATAAATGCTTACCTGAGATTATTCCTTGAGATCTTGCTGCAAAAACCAGACAAAGTGAACATTTCACCATGTAGTTGATAATATTTAAGAAAGCCCCACAACTGTAGCTCATGTCTGAATTAAAATTTAAACCTACATACTATAGGGTCTCAAAAAAAATATTGGTAGGTCATGTACTGTATTTCTATAATAATAATAACTAGATAGTGTTTGCTCAAACTCTCGGCCAGAGGCAGACTGTCAAACATTATTTCGCACAGTTGATATGAACGAGCCGTTCTTGGCATATTAATATGTACTTGTGTATGGCAAGTTGTTGGATGCCGTTGAACTTGCATCGTTACGGGGCCGTTAAGACTATGCAGCAATATCGTGATATGTCTTTGAGGACATGAATGGATTGATGATTCATCACCCTAAGGTTTTAGTTCATACAGGAGTTCCAGATATATTCTTCAATCGGAATCTGCTTTTATCGCATCTCCAAGATTCTTGTCTGCATTTTAGTCATGAAGTGGCTATCACGTCTATCAAGATCTTACTGGCCAACTGCATGGGCCATTTGGAAAGAACTAGGTTTGGTATGAAAACAATGTTATAGTCAGGAAGTACGCAGGTGCTGAAATCTTTATTCAGCATCAACCTCATTACCAATTTCATAAAACATTAGCCTAAATAATGTATCATATTTTCTTACATGTCAAATGATCTACCCCGGCAAAGGCAACTAACAGTAAAGTGCACGATTTTATTTCGGAATCTTGTTGACATACATACATACGTGGAAGCACATCGTATAATTCGAAGAGGAGCAAACCTTTGTCGTATAACTGTAAATAAGCCCGTTGATTTACAAGTTTATTCAAAAAAAGTTTGAGTCTCTAAATTATAAGAGATGCACAGTATTAATATTGTAAATTGACGTTATTTGTATCAACGTGTAACCATACCTGCAGCTGAATCCATATCGTACGTATTTCCTGGTTTAGGTAATTCTCCAGTCGGTAAGAGAATACTAGAATATTTACTCTCCTTTTCGAGACGTGATAAGGGTTTTACATCGTTATGATATATAGTACTCCACGTGCTGTCATTAGACCATGTCTTGTAAAAAAGCTCGCCAATATCCAACCCAAGTCCCCATGCATCTGGACGCTTATCAGGATCAGCATCACAACACCGCTCGGCAATCTTCTTGTATTCCTCTGGTGCGGAATCAGGCATCGATGGTCGTAGTCCGCCCATAATATCGCATACTAAATCTCTATC